AAAACAAAGACATTTTCAAATATTTCTACGGTAGGTACATTACGATTAAGTGTGGGAGAGCCATACTTCGACGCGAATGGGCTGGCTTGGCTGGAATGATAGCACAGCCTCACAGAATACCGGCGAGAAACAATACTTACGTGTCACCAACACCTGTTTATCATCAAGTGGGATTGCACTAGTTAATAAAAGTTACCAATGTTGAGGCTCAATCCTTCTTTGTCTTCCCATTTTTTCTTCCCGGTCCTATTGAGGACCGCTTTGGGTATTGACCCAAAGCCTCTAACCCTAATGTCCTAATAACCCTTGTAGTCCTTTAGGATTAGGTACAAGTGTCCATGGGCATCGCAATCTGCTTGATTTCAGGTAAACCGTCTGCTCGTTTGCCATCATCATCATCAGCCTATAAGTGCCCATTGCTAAGCAAAGGCCTCTTCTTATAAGGAGAAGGTTATAGCATTAATCACCACGCTTGCTCAATTGCGGGTTGGCGATTTCGAACTTATAAGTCCAGGTTTCCTCACAATGTTTACCTTCACCGTATGTCGGTGGTGTCTAAATAATAATTTTATTATAGAAAGTACATTAAACTCGGAAAAAGACACATTGGTACTTGCTAGGTTAACCTACGGGCCACCACGACATGGTGCCAACCTATCAAAAAAGAAATACAAATAATATTGGCTAATTTTCAATTATCTGATCCAGGACCATCTTTTCAGTCCTTGGTTACGCTAATTAACATTAATCTCCAAAACCAAATGTTTAACTAACCCCAACCATTTTAATCCGTGACGAAAATAAATCAAATTATTGTCTTTTTTTAACAAGTGACCGAGTCACAGTCGACCGCCTGTTTATCCTTTACATTCAAATGTAAGCTTTTGTCAAGTGTTAACATTATTTTGAATATATAATTGCGTGTTATTGTTGCAGTGTGTAAATAAAAGAGGAGTGTGGTTATCGATTTGTCTCGCTTCAAGCGAATAAGGATCGAGTTTTTTCGAGTATTCGTTGTTCAGTGGGTGCTGTAAAGAATTTAAAATAATGCATAGCATATAAGAAGTAGGTTGATATTTTAACGCAATTTTCTGAAGCATTTTTTCCTTCTTTTTAATAGAGCTCTGCTTACCATATGTAGATCAAGTTGACGTTTTTGCATTTGGCTTTATTGTTACCTTAGATAAAAATTGTCAGTTTCCATTATACGTAATATTTCCGACTCACCCACTTGCGATAGGATGCTTAATGATATGAAAAGCTAAGGTGGCAGCTTAGGTAAATATTCCATGAACTATACGCAGAAAGTGTAGTCAGATTCTATTTATAATATATGTCTGAATATTAATGAGAAGGTTTCAGGTATAAAAGCTACTAGAATGACTAAATATCAGAACATTCGAACCACGTTCGTGGAACAGCATACATCATTGAATACACCAAAGTCTAAATACGTGTTATTTTCTCAAGATGAAACTTGTTTTGGTCCTTGTGGTCCTTGTCGCTTGTGTCTGGTGCTGTGAGGCGCAGGGTGGTAATTTCTATTGTGGCCCTGCACTTGCTGAGGCATGGTCGAAAGTGTGCGCGAGTTCCAAGGATGAGAAGCGTGGTGCGGGGTGGTGGATGGCTGCAAACGAGGCTCGGTCGCTTGGTGGATTTCGCGGAAAACGTGGTCTTGTCAACGAGTGCTGTTTCAAACGCTGCTCTTTGGACGAACTTCTTGCCTACTGTTATTAACATGTGTACGCTTTACTAATTGTTATTATTGTTAATATAGTTTCTGGTCCTTTAAATTGGATTGTTGATGTAAATAAATGTTATAGACATCACTGACTGATTTTCTTTCATCAAATTGGTTCTACTTCTATCACGGACCAAGCGCTGCATTTTTGTTTATTTTTTGTAGCACTAATGCACAATAATGAAATTTAGCATAATATCCTGCCGAGGTTGTTCCTGGTGGACCGAATATCATCGAAAATGAAGAAGCTTGTAATGAGTCTGGCAAAAAGAATTGTGCAAACAAACTTTCAGACTAAGACGTATCAATTGGTGCTTATGTACCCAATAAATGTATTTTTTTACAAAAAGTATATTTAGGTACAAAATTAATCATAAAAACACTAACATCTTGCCCTACTAACAATCAAACAAACCTCTGTTCTAGTAAGAAAGAAAATATTGACATTTTGAAAAAAAAAAGGACTCGTCTCTGGCGCAGTTTGACAAATAACTGTCAAGCAGTGACAAGGGGTAGATGGAACGAGCGATTTCATTGTGGAACCCGATCTCTATCTTTGGGATTAACGCTAATGTGCCGAGATATCATCTTAAAAGAGGGACCTATGGGGATTTATATTACCGAGTGCAAAATGTTGGATTGGACGTAAGAGTAAGTATTAAGGACATTTGGTGTTTAGTGTCCGTTAGATGGTAAATGAACTTATACTCGGAATTTTAATTTGATTCCTGATTTGACAATTTCAGTGTTGCAACGTTATGACACGTACTAAATAGTGATGTTGCGAAATTATTCGATATGGATATCGAATATTTCTGAATCGATTCCTCTCGTTTATAAATTTACTCTCGTAAACTAAGTTTACCAGGAAATAAAATATTTCTGAACCGATAATTTAGTTTTGACAATTAATTAACGATCTGAGACTTTTCTTTTGTAATTGTGTATGAAATTTATAAAAAATGTGATCATGAAGGAACATGACAAATAAAATAGACATTTTATAAATTGTCGCCGTCATCGCTATCGCTGTTACTTTCTGTAACATTTATAATGAATTGTGTGTGTGATACTTATGTCAATTAACATATCTAGCTTTCTCATTTTTTCCTCTTTTTTAACAACATGGTATACGCATTTAGACCATTCGGAAGCCGTAATTTTTTGAATGTCTTCCTGAAACTAATTCACTGATTATTTATCGATTTTTGTGTTCATCACTACACTGTTATATGTGGTATCATTATTTCAAAAAATGACAGTAATTCATGTCAAATCAGGAATCGAATTAAAATTCTGACTATAGTAGGTATTAAGTGCATATGGTAGTTATATAATTGTTCCAGAATATGCTTTACAGCAATGATATTATAAGTAAAATGGTATGGATAGGTTACATAAACACATAAACATTCGATTTTGGAAAACAGACACACTTATGCACACATGAATAAATCGTATGATACACGTTAAAGTGGGATGACATGATTCAATAATCTCGAGTGAGAAAGAGACAAATATGAAAAAGTGTGTCGTAAGTCAGAATTTTAATTCGATTCCTGATTTGATATGACCTTTTTTATGGAATAGGAGGCAAACGAGCAGACGGGTCATACGACCTACTGTCATTTTGTGAAATAATGATACCACATATAACAGTGTAGTGATGAACACAAAAATCGATAAACAATCAGTAAATCAGTTTCAATTCTGATAAGTATTTTAGAAGTTACGAGGGAACCGATGAACATACATACGCAGCCTGCCAAATAATAACCCCTTCTTTTGCTTTGCCGTAGTCGTGTAAAAAGAAGCTTCTTTGTTAATCCTGGATATCTTCTATCTACGTATCAAACTTCAACCAAATCATTGCAGCCATCTTTGCATAAAAGAATAACAAACAACAAAAGATCCATACATTCTCGAAAACTTTTAGATTAACAATGTTAGTATTGATCTAAGTTAATGATCTGTGTTAGTGACCTATTTAGTGATGATCTAAGAAATGTCTTTGACTGCACGGTTGGTGCAGTGGCTGGGCAACTGGCTGCCGTGCAACGTGTCGCGGGGGTCGATTCCCGCATGGAACAACTCTTTGTGTGATCTACAAATTGTTGTTCTGGGTCTGGGTGTGATGTGTATGTGCGATTGTATGTTTGTAACCGCACCCACAACACAGGAGAAGATTCTACTGCGGGGCAACGTATTTGTAAAAAAATAAAACTGTAAAATATCTCCACTGCAAAGCCGTTGAGCTTTGTAGTTTATGACCATAGTCTTTTTTATCCAGAATAATAAAAAGATAGACTAAGGCACTCTTTTTTAATATTAACTTTGTTATGGACAACTTATTGTTAATGCCTAATATTTGGTAAGCTTCAGGGTACGTGTTAGTATTGTGTGCGTCTTAAAAAATGTTATTCTGCTTTACCTATACTTAATTTTCTATAGCAGCCGCAAGAACCTACTGCTGATCTTAGGTAGCTTCAAGCTAGGACCTTTCTTTATTATTTTGTACATGAATAAAAAATTAAAAACGTCTTTTACATGTGATCGTGATAGTGCGTATGAGTAGGTAGGGCATTTTATCGCAAAAAAAAAATGTGAAACTATAAAATACAAAAAAGGAATAAAATTTTCTAGCCCAATGACAATCCACGTACAATAGCCCGAGGTGTGGCACAAATAAAAAATCCCATTTGGTCCACGGAGGCGGAATAATGACCGCTTTTTACCGGCTTAATCCGGATCAGATAACTGGGGACTATGCGATGCCCGTTTGATATTCATGATCATTCCTAGGGGATTTTGGGGATCAAAAATGTACTGCAGATTTTGTTACCATTTACATTAATTGGTAATTACACGTACTGCACAATTGGGTTATTACAGTTTTATCAGAAGAAGAAGAAATTTTGGTTAAATACACACTTTGTTGTGACTTTGTCTGTTGAGCATTTAATATTACAAAATAATATTTAGATAAAAGAAAACAATGCGAATCGGATAACTTCTATTTTATTTACATCAAAACAATTGAAAATTCTCGTATCTATTTCACTATATAACAATCAGTCAAGTGTTCTCATGTAACATTAATTTATTTATTTATTTATTTATTATAGGCTAGCCAACAATTGTTTACACTAAAAGAACATTGTAGATATAAACGAAAAATACATTTGCGAGCGTAACAATCACTTAAAGGCTAACACCGCATGCACATTAAACGGCTTGAATTAAAATTATAATTTTAAAATTAATAGAAGCAGTAGGCGAGTAGTTCATCGACTGTGCAGGGCTTGTCGCAGCACTCGTCGACGGGACCACGTTTGCCGCGAACTCCGCTAAGTGACCGAGCCGCATCCGCAGACATCCACCACCCAGCATCACGTTTCTCTTCAGAATGATCCCAACATAGTTTTGACAGTACCTCAGCAAGTTGACGACCACAGTAGAAATTAGCATTCTGCGCCTCAGAGCACCAGAAGCAAGCTACAAGGACCACAAGAACCAAAGTAAGCTTCATCTTGAGGTAATGGGATGTATAAAGTTATGGTTTACTAAATGATGTATGCTGTTCCACGAGTGTGGTTCGAATGTGCTGATATTCAGTAATTCCTGCCTTTTATACCTGGAGCCAGCTCATTAATATTCAGACAAATTTTATTAATAGGACCTAACTGAAATCTGTGCTCATAGGTTATGGAAAATATACCTCAGCTGTCACCTTGGCTTTCTATGTCAGTAAGCACCATGTCGTAAGTGGGTGAGTTGGAAACAGCATGTGTAATGGAAAGTGACAATATTTCACCTAAGATGTTGGACGGAAAAGCGTGATTAGTTTGTGAAAATCTAATGCCTACAAACGAAGCAATTTTTTTTATTTGGGAACCAGCACCGACTCTTGCTGTGCGTCAGATTAGCTGGTTGCCTGTGATGTTAGTCTATGAGAGTTGACCCAAGGACACATTGTGCGACAAGTCAATGTATCACTTCAGCGAACTCATTTGACTAGCAACAGAAGTATCTCTAACATATTTAATAGTTTTGTAATAGTATCCACACGTACCTATGCATGTATGTTGGAAAGTGGAAACGACTTGAAAGTAACTTAATTAGGTACTACATGTTAGTGTTTCGACATAAAGCACTCTAGAAATATTATACAAGTTCTACTTAAGAAATTCCTTAACGAACCATTTATTTCAACAGACGAAATTGACACCTAATTATAGAAGTTTCTAATTTGCTCAGACGTTTTGAGTTTGAAGTACACTCGGCAAAAACATTATGACGGACGAAGCTAAAGATAGTATAAAGCAAAAAATTCGTTGGCCTACGTGAATAGGTTGGTTACTTATGTGTAGGCGTGATCCATTCATTGCTTGCCACCGAGTGATAACGGCAAAATGTCTGCCAAAATAAAAGATGGCGCTCTATATTTCTGCATATCATTTTGTAAAGAAATGCATACATAGTCCTAGACACAGGTCTCATGTCTCACGTGTGTTAATAAAACAGCGAACACAATTACTTCAGGACCTAGCCTTTTTTTGGTTTTTTTATTATAAAGGGGCAAAATTAACGGGCAATTCTGTATCAGACTCTTACTGACTAAAACTATCTAGTTGCTTTAATGCTCCAGGCCGGGGTCCATTAAAGCGCTCGTAACCTCGGCTAGATGACATAGGTAAAAGTTATGCTTTTCGTTTTAGTCTCTACTTTTAACAGTAACTATCGTGAGAAATGGTTAATTAATTCAAAATAAAATAATTTAAACTCCGTTTGTTCACGTGTGTAAGTCACACACGTGAACAAATGGAGTTTAAGTTGGCTACGCGACGTCGCCGCGAATACGCTGCTCATGAATAAGAGCTCCGTTGTGACTTGAAACTAGTAGAGCTTTTCCCAGTTTGTTCACTGGAGTAGTCTCGTCGCTTATATTTTTTTCGAACATAAGCAGCAAGTCTTAATCTTAGTTAATTGATAATTGGTGAAATTCGGAAACTGTGCCGTGTTCTTGATTATTGCTCGTCACCTACATATTTGTCCAAATTCAATATGATAGCTAAATATATAAAATTTTTCCTTGTCTAACAAAGCTATGTAATAGTAAGTAATAAAAGTAAACAGTAGCGGTAACCATAAAGGTCTGTAATTAAATCTTAAGGGCTGCCCCACGCGGTGTGAGCGAGGCGAGGGTGCAACACAATGGACCATAGTACCAGGGTTGTAGGCCAGGTGCCGCTTCTACAATAGATTTAGTTGACTTTATTTTATTTGAGATTTACTGGTAGTTTTGTTATGTGTTGTATATGGGTTTGGCGTATAAATTGTCTAGTCTTTAAATGAGGTTTACAAGATTTTTTCTTAAGCTGTTCGACCCAATATTGTTCTTAGTTTTTAGGAAATATTTGCCACACAAATAATCATACTTCATAGTTATTCTTTATACTACTTCATATTGATAGTGTAAACGCAAAAATGTCCAATCAAAACTGCAAATGATAATCAGACGAGTCAGTTTTCTTGATAAAACAAAGTTCTCAAAAGAACAAAAAAAGAATCTACAAATACATATTATTCAAAAGTCCACCGTCCGTCCACATAAAGTGTAATTGTTATCCGAAAATTAATTTTACGATAACTCCCTTCCCCTGGTACTTACAACCGAATTTACTATACACAATTTTTTGACCCAAAATCCATTTTTTCGATAAAAAAGTTGGTAGTATGAATGGTTGGCATTGTTCGTGGTGCATCGATGCAGCGCGACAGATGGGCTGTGGCGTTGTATGTGTTCCGTGGTGTTGGATATAAGCGATAAGGGTAAACGGTTTGACACCGCGACAATCGGTCAGATTGCTCTATGCACAGCTTACTGCAGGGTTTAGTAATAATAGCAGACGATCTGCTAGCAGAATAAGATTGGTGGTGAATAATCTTAATGACGCGATAACGTTAAATAGTATTTGTTTATTAGTTTTTATAGAAAAAAGATCATTAAGTACATACACTTTATATAAAACTAGCTACTCTCGCGCGGTTTCACCCGCTGCTCGGCTCTATTTAATCGTTGCGTGATGTTTTATAGCCTATAGCACTCAGGAATATTGTAACTATCTACCAGTGAAAGAATTTTGGAAATCCTACCAGCGGTTCCAAAGATTACCCCCTACATACAAACTTACAAATTTTACCTCTATAATATTAGTATAGACAAAGTCGCGCTTTCTGGCCCCATATCCTTCTGTATGCTTAAATCTTTAAAAACACGCAACAGATCTTGATGCAGCTTATTTAACAGTACCTAATTGAAGGGAAAGGTTCATATGTATTATATTATCCTTTGAATAGTGGAAAAAATTAGTAATTAACAGCATTGCACCCGTGCGTCTTCGAGGCGGGGTGCTAGTTATGTACAATTCATCATTAGGTAACTTTGCCTATAAAATTGGTGGTGTTAAATAGTCATCGTGCCTATCAGTGTCTAAAGCTGAGCAAATGCCTCTTCTCCCATGGCAATGGTTTTGAGTATTAATCACCACATTTGTTCAAGGTAGATTGGTAATTTCAATCTTATAATTCGTGATGTTTCCAGACGATTCCCGTTTCTGTTGTGTAAAATAATTTTCTAAAAGGTTGACCAACACAACAACCTCTCGGCACAAGATTTGATAAAAGAAGTTACTTAAAGATAGAGACAAGATTTATTATTTTTTTAACAACATACCAATGGTAAACCCCCTGGCCAAAACTATATTTCACTCCAATGAAAAATAAAAATAAGTTGTTAACTCCAAATTAATCATCCTTGACTATATGAATATAATTTATTATGAATTCCTCTTTAATTCCAAGCCAGTAGCTTCAAATTAAGCAGTGACAAGCGTGACATTAGCGTGTTATTGGCAAATTCGATATGGTGCGTAGGAGTCGAACCACAGACTATATTTAATGGTTATTTATTTGTATTCATTTAACGGTAGTTAACTGTATCCTCCTATTATTTTGGTGTCCTGTGAAGAAATATATTTTGACAAATAGTAGACACGTGCCTTTATGGTTGTTGGTTACATTTGTGCGAATCTTAGCTGACGCAAATAGTTGAATTATAAATGTATCGTACATCAACATCATCATCATGATGTTGAAATTGATGTTGTTGTTAACTAAAGGTTTCTTGTTAATACTCATTGATCCTTGCAATCTACTTGTGTAATAAGCTGTAATCACTGTAAAAATATTGATATGCTCACTTCTTAATTTTAAGTCTGTCACTATACGTGAGAACTTGTAATTGGCTTTCAGTAGTTTATGTTGGCTTCTATTTTATGTCCGTAAGGATTGAGGAGCCACATCAGATTTTTAAAATCTGACCTCACCATTATTTAGCAGCAATGTAGCTTATTTTGCAGTACGAAGTCTAGATTTAGCAGCAAAATATATCACGAGTTATTTTAATGCAAAAGTGGCTCCTCAATCTAAACGTCTGAATTGAGGAGCCACCTGGAACTCGTTAAGTAATAGATGAATATTTATGAAAATTTTGTATCATTTAGTAGCAATTTTGCATATTACCGTCTAAAAATATAGCTTCTGTAGCGCTAAAATTAAAGTAAATACAATGCTTTTAATATGGCTCCTCAATCTAAACTCAAAAGGTGAATTTCTATTGGATGTGAGCGATCAATTAATATATTCGACATATTGATCATTTAGCAGGTGTTGTGTTTGTTTTTGCAGTATAGAAGTAAAATAGTAAAACAGAGTAAATTTTGTATATGAACGCATTTTCTTTGGCTCCTCAATCCTGACGTTCTAATTATATATGTTTGACTGTAGCCACCTGAGATCTCAACGGAATCTAAAGCCAGAGATACTAACATTTAGCAGAAATGTCTGCTAAATATGTCTGCACAGTTCAGCAATGTATATATTTTGAATTCTGAAAAAACAATACTTAACTATTGTCTTGTAAATTCAGTGTGTAGGGTCACCATATTTTGGGGGAACCTACAAATTAATATTTCACTTACGTACCCACAATAATATTTATTTAGTAACAAAACTTTCATCAGCGGTAAAGTATTCTCGTTTATACATCATGAATGTGTTCATGTACGACGTAAATAATTAACTTGAATTTATTATATGATATAGTTAATCATCGTGTTTGTGTCATCATAATTAAGTTGTGGGGATATTAATAAAATTCGTATAAGTACTAATCAGCCAATATTCATTCATTCTATAACTTATGGCGAAATTGATTGCTAAATCACCAAATCGTAGGTACAATAGATATAAATTTAATAAATTACTTATCCTGGTTTCATTAATCGTTCATGGTGCGAGTTCCAACTCATCACGTCCAGACATTCCTCAAGGAAGAGTTTTGGCCGAAGGGTGTCGTATATCGGAGGTTCCGAGGATGGCTACGCGACACCACGCAGCGTAACACGACGCCGACACTTCGTGTGCATTCGTTTTTAAGTTATCTATGTAACATATGTATTAGTTTGT